CTCAGAACACCGAATAGATTACAGATTCACTTTGCCCAATAAAATTTGGGTTTCACAGGCTATTGTTGGCATTTTGTGGAATCCTGAGATGCCCAGACCTCTGGAAATGTCCTATTTCCTATTTTTTTCATTTTATTGAAGTAGATACCGTGATGATCTCAGACCCCTAATCACTTCACTGAAAGACACAAGCCTAGGGAGAGAACTATTTGATTTGGATTGTATCTGGTAATCATGGATTAAGTCCAGGTCTTAATTATAAATAGAACTTCTGGTTACAGCATAGGTTCTCGAGCAATCATTTTGTATTTTTAAATTTCTACCTAAGACTTCCAGAACTGAGTCATCAATGTACATTTATGGCCTTTGAATTAATGAAGCAGTTAATGAATTGAGTTAGCAATTTCTAACTATGCAAATCTCTAAATGAGGTGACTAATGACCCTCAATGTACAATGTGGTATCTGTGTGGCTGATTTAACATCTGAGCTCGTCCTCTGAGGGGGCCAAGGTCATTGTTGATGAATGACTTAGTTTTTAGTGGATCCTATGGTTGCTAGTGTACATAATTGACTCTCAGAAACAAATACATGCCCTAGAGCAGATGAGCAAAAAGGCTACAAGTACAGAAAGCTAGGAAGAGAAGAAGAAGCCAGGATGTTAAAGCAAATCAACCTGACTTGGACCAACAGATGTCTATCGTTCTCTTAAGCTTTGTGACAATGCACGTTATCGGGTTAAGGGCACGTCAGCAATAGTTTCTTGCATTGCACCTGCGTCTTTGAAACCTTGGATTTTACTATTGTGCTTGAGCCAAAAAGGCAAAACAAGAAATTTGTCCACTGAAGCACACACAAGGCTTTCATCAATGGGAAATCTATGTTAGTGACACTGGGGAGGGTAATGCAGAGTCATTTGCATTTTTTCAGTATGCATACAAGCTTCCACTGTGCATGCATTGTCCTTTTTAGGCCCAGGCATGCGATTTGAAGCCTTTCAAAAGCATATCAATATGTTTTTAAATTGAGGAGTCTCGATTCACGGGGTGGGGGAGCCGGCATATCCTTAAATCCTATCAATTTCTCGTTAGACAAAATAAGTTACACTATTCACATCAGCTCTATGGTAATTCATTTAAGCAATAAATACAAAAATCTGTGGAACAGTTGCTGGTTGGACCTTGGATCATTTTGTCATTCCCTTTCTGGTTTCTCCATTCTTTTACATAAAACAAGTAAAATTTACTTTCCAATCTATACGCTTTTCTTGCAAAAACAGAACTTTTTTTTTTAAATAAAAGTAAAGAAAGGCACTTTGTAAACTATATACAAATCTGTTTCTTTCTTGTCTACACTAAGGAGATAGAGAAGACAATAAAGGCAGGGCCAAGTCTTTCTGCAACTGACTACACTCATGGAGAAACTCGAGAAAGGGCCAGATCTCTTCCACAGCCAAACCACATCCCGGAGCTCTTGAACTCATGGCTTGTCTGATTCAGTTGGGCACTACAGGACAAGGGGTCAAACTCCTGATTCAGGTGGTAAGGGACTGACCCATGTTGGACCAAACCAGCGAAAGCAAGTTTTTGGTACATACCCACCTACCAGGATTGGCCTTAGGCACTTAGGAAAATGGACATTCTGTTAAATGTCAGGGATGCAGCTGATAATAACTTGGGTTCACGCCGAGGTGCCTTAAATCCATTCGTTAAAACTGACCAGAGAACATTTTGTGGTTGGGGTTAGAAGATTCCATAAATCACCCATTGGCTAGCCCGTCTCTATGTGCTTTGTAATTTGAATATTTAGGTGTTTTTTTATAAAACCATGACTTTTTATAATTCAGAGTGTATGGCTCTGTAAAAACCAACCATGCAATAGTGGTTTATAATTCATCAGAAAGAAATAAAAACCAGAAGCCACTTTTTTCTAAAAATCAAAGGCTCATTCGGTATGTCTTTAAAAAAAAAAAAAAACAAACCAAAACAGCTCATGCATCTTCCCTCTACACACATACTTACATGTTTTCTTAGACACTGATGCTGTATCTACATAATTTATAGCATGCTTGTGTCATATGTTAAGACCGACTAGAACTGATGATTTAAAAGTGAAATCAGAAGAGCCCATCCCTGGAAAGTGCTTGTGTGTCTCTGATGAAAGGCAATGATTAGTTAGCTTACTTACGATCAAAGCACTGGGTATATTATCTTTGCTGGAAAATATTCAATGAGTCATGGAATCAAGGAGCCAGAGTTTGAAAGGATAGTAGAGATGATTGGCCTGACATTTTCTTCAGAGGAAACTGAGGCCCAGGAAAGGCAATTGTTCTGTCGAAGGCAACAGAGCCAGGACTGGAACCTGGGTCTCTTGACCCCCACGTCTGGATCCTTCCACTGTACCAGCTGTCTCCTTGATAGGAAATATGCCAGAAGATGAAAAAAGAATCCCACTTGATTCTAATAAAGGGTGTTAATTGACCATGGAATTGTAACCTTGGCTTACTTAGTAAGTGGCTAACTGGGGTATTTTGGAGATTTACTTCAAGGTGAGTCTTTCACCATAACATTTTTTTCCCCCACACATGCCGAGTCATATGCCAAACAGGTTATTTTTGAATTTTCAAATTATCAGAGTGATTGATGTACATTTTGGAGGAGAATGGACTATTTTGGGAGAAGTTTGGTCTGGACTGGCTTGGAAAGGTAAAGTTTTGGCAGAGTCTATCCCAGGTGGAGTATATTCCCTAGCCCTCTTGGAGTTGTATGTACTTTTGCAAAGTTATCGCCTATCACCCTATAAATTTGAACCCTAGATGGATTTTTCAAAAAGTGTGCCTTCTCCTTACATAGAGGGTCACTGTGTACAAGTGAGACTTGACCTGTATTTCTGAGAGAGGATTGTTTCTGGGCACTAACACACCTTTAGCGGAAGTGGTCACCTGGGACAGTGCTTCTCGAACTTCCTTGTGCACATGATTCATCTAAGGACCATGGTAAGATTGGGATTCTTTAGGTCTGGGGCAGGGGATCAGAGAGTCTGCATTTCCAGGCAGGGTCAGGCGATGCTGAGACAGCTGGTCCTCAGGGCCTACTTTGAGTAGGAAGGACCTAGGTCACTGGAGGAACTTGGGCAACTTTCCCAAGTGTTCCCCTCACTCTTAATGCTGGTCTATATTGGGAGAAGAGAACTCAGATCGATTTACTCTGGCATTTCTGGAAGCCCTAGTGATGTGTTCAGTTGCAAACATCAGGGCCATGGCAGAGTCCGGTTCCTGTCAGCACGGGCTTGCTGGGGGTTGGCTATTTAACTCCCAGAGTGGAGTTCCTATTCCCTACGTCCAGCTAGTGAGTGAACACAGAGAATGGCTTTGCCATCAGATGAAATGAAAAACAGAGGGAGGCAGTTTCATGAGTCACGAATGCTCTCTTTTAAAATGGAGATCCGGGCGCTTGAATGCCCTCTTCTCTCTCTGGAAGGCTGCCCTTGGAACTGACATGGGGATTCTTGCTACCAGACCCTGCCTTTGTAGCTGTTGCCACCACCCACAGATGCCTGCCTCCTTAGAACTTGTATTTGAACGCTTCTGGGGTGAGTCCTGTCTCTGCCTCTGCCAAGGTTTTGCAAATGGATTTACTTCAGAGAGATACTAACTCCTGGCTTTGCTTACATTTTCTTGGCTGCCCAGAATTTCTCAGAACACCCAAACCAGAAAAACCCTCTCTCTAAAACAGTACGTGAGAGGTCATGGCTCACCTTTTCATGGTGGTTTTATGACTATTTACCCGGAGAAGAGCAGAAGCCCCAGAGTAGACCTAAAACGACAGAAGTGATTTCTAGTCTGTGAAAAGCCCTAAACTTTCTAGGCTGGCGACTGTTCAAAGTATCACACAGATAAAAAGAATCAGATAAACTATAGTACGCTGTGCTGGAAATTGAATGTACTTCCCATTCCTCAGTGGGCTGTGGGTTGCTATGGCGTTTTACTCCACGAACAGGGATGGCATATACTACTACGTACTGCAAATACTCATTATAACCTCAGAGCAGAAAATACCGTACCCACTAAATACGTAAACAGCTGTACTGGGAAGATAGAAAATAGTCTTTTATTTTACCTAAGTGATAGAAAAATAGTCTTCAAAAATACATTGTGAAACTTACGGGTTTATATTAAAGTAGAATTTGTATGTACAGTAAGGCAGTATTTCCATTAGCATCCTGCTGTGATTATCTTTTAAAATTAGTCTTTGGGGATTTGGTTTTTTTTTTTTTTTTTTAACCTAACAGGAGACTAGGGTGTATAATAAATGATCTCTTATGCTGAAATGAAACAGGAAAACATTTTAGAAGAATTTAACCACGTGAAACTCATTTACCTGCCATGTTAGAAAATTTCACTTTCCAAAACTATTTTCTCTAGAGGCTTCAGAAGAAAATACAATTTAGGGGGAGGGAAAAAAAAATCCATACTTACTAATAAACTCAAACCATTTTAAGAAAAAACCAGAGGCATCATTTTGGCTTGCATATTGGCAATGTATCACTAAGGGGATAGGAACCCATGTAAACAACATGTCCAGTCTTCTGGAATGCATTCTTTCTTCAAACGGGTCATATTTGGTTAATCCGAATAAAATGAAAGAGGAGTGCAAAAGTTAAGCAAAGGTTTGTTGGTTTTCAAAAGCGGTTTTCATGGCATTTTTCTCACATCTATCATCTTCCTGTGGTAAACAACTGTGAGTATTTCATTTCCTTCTGTCACACGTCAAATCATGAAAGCCCCTTCCAGAGGATATACTTAATGGCGCTGTCCCTCAAGAATACTAAACGGTGTGCTTTTATTTCATTGAACACATAATTTTATAACTAACAGGAAAAAAAGTCAATCTACAAATCACAGGAGACAAAATGATTTGTTCTGGAATCAGCTGTTGGAGAAAGAGGCAGCTGGTTGAAAATGGTGCATGACGAGTGAACTATGGGCTGTATAGTGTCATTCTAACCACATTCTCCAGCATTCTCTAGTAGGGTGCATTTCCCGTACTTTGTAGTGTTACCTGAAAAAAAAATCACATTTTAACCAATCATTCCGTGAATCAAGCTATCACTGGAAGGAGTGCATAAAACACATGGGATCCAGGTAATCCAACCCACCCAGCTGGAGTCCACAGCTGCTTGGGGCTGAGGAGAAGGAGGCCAGGTCTTCTCTGGCTGGATTCTGCTGAAGAGATGGTGGAGCCTCCTTGGCTGGTTCTTCAAAAGTAGCCAGGTTCTGAGCTCGCGGATCCTGCACCAATACCAGGATGTTGTTATCCATCACCCGGGACACCTTGGCATACTCCTTACTGCCTTCACAAGTACCGGACTTCTCTGTCTGGTGGCTGTTCTCTTTCTGTTTTGGGAGCAGTGATAGTGCTCCGTCTTTGTTAACCTTGTGAATCTCCACGTAATCCAAGGGTTTCACAGAGATAAAAGGGGTTTTCTCCTGGGGCAACAGCCATGCTGTGCCTTGGTCAGTCTTGGAATGGAAGCTTTCCACTTCCTTCTGCTCAGCTGCCTTTTCCTCCCCTCCAGTCTTGGTGGTTTTTGAAGATCTTAAAGCTTGTGTGTCTGTTTTGTCCAACAAGATGGCTGATGTCCCCGTCACGCCCAGGGCCAGCTTACACATGTCAGCGATGTTGTGGTAAGAAGATCTGGGGCTGTGTTGGCTAGGGGGTTGTGGTAAAGGCCATGTTGAAGATTTGGAGCCGTCAGCAGGGAAATAGGGGATTTTGCCTTCTAAGCGTGCGCTCTGGGCGTCCTGACTGCGGGTAACCTTTGTTTGGGGATTCTCTGGCTTCTCGATGCCCTCAGGAGTGTTAAATGTGGAGGGATTTGCCCGGGCTTCCTCACACTTTTTAGACAAAAGGGAAGGGCTGTCGCAGCTGCCTCGGCCAGAGTCACTGTCTGGATCCAGGGATGTGGGCTTATTATCTTGCCCCGGGTGTTCTTTTGAATGGGTCGGCATCAGCTGCTGGTCCTCGCTGTCATCCACTTCCAAAAACTCCACCAGCAAGTCCTCACAGTCGGAAATGGGAGGGAAGTCTTGGCACCCCAGGGCACTCAGCAGTTCTTCAGACTTGCCCTTCTAGTAAAAGGAGAGACGGCCGTTAGCTTCCTATCATTTCACATTGGCATCACAGCCAAGCCCGCAGTCTTGACAAAGGGTGTGTGGGACGTGCTAATGGTCTCCCAGAGTTTCCCAAACATCAGACATGTTGGTATGAGGCTATCTATAATCACCTCCTGGACTACTATACATCCCATATTTTTCTTTCAGTCAATTCATGATTTTAACTTAATGTCTTAAGCAGTCATGATTATGAGTTTAATGGGCTAGTAGTATATGCACAAAAAATAAACACATACCTATCAAATACGAAGTTTGTGAAACATCAAAAACTATAGTGCTCATGCCCGCATTTGGTGTTTTGGGACCCACGGGCCCTGAGATCTGGTTGCTGGTCTCCTAACCAACTCCATCACCTTCTGGAGTCTGGCAGTGGTCAGCAGATTCTTGTCTCTTCCTTCTTTCTCAACTCTTCCTCTTCATACTTCTTCCTTACTCCTCCCTTCTCCTCCTACTGTACTCTTTTCTTTCTTTATGCTCCGTTTCCTGTCCTTCCTCCTACCTCTCCCTCTCTCCCTGCTGTCCCAGTTTCCTTCCTCTCCTCCTCTCTGTTCTCCTCCTTCTCTCCTCCTCCTTGCCTCTTGTTTTCCACTTTTCTTCCTGATCCCTTGACTTTGGTCAGGTACTGGTACCCAAATCTTGACTCTATCACTTTTTAAAGGGTACTGACTTTGGATGGGCTTCTCTATGGTCCTTACTTTCTCCACCTGTAAAATGGGAATAACAGTACCCATCTGCGAGAGTTCTTTTGAAGATGAGAGGTAATTGTGTTTAAGAATATGAAAACTGTGTGTGTGTGTGAGAGAGACACACACACACACACACACACACACACACACACACAAACAGTAGTTATTTTATTATTAAGTCCCTGTGGCCACAGGATCAAATTTTGAGCTAGACAGTATTTAACTTACTTAGTTAAGATGTTCGTGCTGGCTCTATGAAGGTCAGTACTAGAGACGGGTAGTGGGGTAAGAGCACTGGACCAGGAGCCCAAGTTCTGGGGCTCTAATCCCTGTTCCAATACTTGCAATCAAACTGAGTGCAGTCAAGCCAAATTCCCTGGGACTCACTTTTCACGTTCTTGCTGTGTTGTTAGCCTCACAGTGGCTGGGTCAAGGGAGGTAATGTGCAGGCTATTGCTTTTAGATACGGCATTGTTAAGCTGAAGTCAAACTGAAACCATTTATTTCCATCTGGGCAGAAACATAAAATGTCCTAACCCCTTTTTTTATTCAAAACAGTTGAATTTAAATCCCTTTTGAATCAGCCTAAGTGGGCCTGGGCAAATAGCAGCCCCCTGGACTGATCCAGTCTCCATTGAGTCCTCACAGTGAGCAACAATTACAATAGGATACTGCAATTGTGCAAAGAACACTCCAGTGAAAACTTTAATGGAAGTATGACAAAGGAGGTGGTGGTGGGTCCCTGTTTCATATTAATCAAAATATTCACCCTCTTTCTAAATTGGTTATTTGCACAAAATGTTTATTTCTGTGCTTATGAACAGACCTGTTCTGTTCATAAGTAATACTTACCTCGCAAGTATTTCTATGTGTTTTCATGTTTTCTTGGCTTTCTCTCCTTGCCCTCTGACATCTAGTGTCTGAACGTAAGGACCCTCACACCTCCAGCCATCTTTCTGTAAACACATGTGCCAAGGAGCAGGGCAAGCTGGGCAGGGACTGAGCCTGCCAGGCTGAACTGATGGCAATTGTGTGTGCAAGTGTCCAGGTCATGATTACAAAGCAGTGAGTTACGCTACCTTCTCCACCTCTGCTACTTACCTCCAGCAGATGAGTATCAAATCCCTTTATTTTTGGCCCAGGAACTGGTGGAAGGATGCAGGTGACCATGCTATAAAATAATTTGTGAAGAAGAATTAGATGACTCACTTTCTCACTTTGTAATTTTTGAAAGATCAATATTCTTTAACTACCTGTTACATGGGCTATGGTGGACAGGAGTTAGATTTCTGGAGCTCCATGAGACTAAAGATCAATGGCAAAGACAATTAATAATTTTAGGGGCTGACATTGTAATTAGCTCTGGCTCCTAGAGGAGGCCGATGCCGAAATGAGTAGATTTTTGGAACTACTTGCTTCTCTTGATTGGAGCTGCTCTTAATGAGAGTTTAACTAATGCACCACTGGGAGTCTCAGTTTGATGGAAAGAGCACCAGTTTCAAAGGAGTCCATCCTGTTCCTTTTGCTAACACTGATAAAAGATTTTCTATGGACACACTGTAGCGAATGACTCAAAGGAAGTGTGCTTGACCTATCTGTAGGTTTCCAACATCTTTGCTTTATCCTTTTTGCTGCAATTCCTAACAGCCATGATTGGGAGGAGGGTTGACAGACAGTGAAGTACCTATGGCCTTTCAGAGCCACGGCTGCGACCATAATCAGACAGATGACTGCGGAGAGAACGGCCACAAAGATCCACACAATGGTATCTTTCATGGTGACGTCTAAAAAGCAAACAGTCAGAAAGATTTGATCAAATCAAAGCATCATTAAAAACAAAAAAACACAACGAATAAGCAGAAGTTATGAACAAAACAGTTCCCCCCGCTTACCTATACCTCTTTTGATTTGAACAACAATCCAAAGAGAGTAGCATCAGTGACACATTTAATTTTTATTATTAAATCTTAGTATGTTGCATATGTTTTTACAGTACTCTACTAATTTCAAAATCCTTTTACATATTATTTTATTCGATCCTTTAAGAGGAAATTCAAGGTCACACGGTCCATTGCAGTAATAATAATAAAGGCCATCATGTATTAAGTTCTTGCTAAAGCCATTGAGGGTGCTAAACTCTTTACATACACTGCCTGGTATATAAAGATGAGGAAATGGAGGCTCAAAGAGCGATTTCCCCACAAACGTTTAAACTATAAACTACTGTTGGGATTTGAACCTGGACCTTCTGCCTCTAGACACTGTGCTTTTATTAATTATAAGAGCCAAGGCTGAACTGGATGCATATATGAATCTTATGACCCACAATTCAGGGCTGTTTCAATGCCAAGCCAATGCAAGCTTTGTGCTTTGGCTGGGCAAGTTGGTAGAAGAGCTAGGCTTTGCCATGTGGTTCTGGGTAAGATCTCTAACTTCACTGAGCTTCATTTTCCTCATTTTTGATTCCTAATGCTAATCTATTCTCTCTGAAGACCTGAGAAGGTTGGAAAGGGCAAGCAAGGTCAAGACTTTATAAACCATAATGTACTTTAGGAATGCAAGATGAATCATTCTCTTGTGGAGCACAAGCCACCATGTTTACTGGCACTTAGAACTGGGTGTCTCTTTTATACTGTACCTTCATACAAGGGTCAAGATGTAATTGACATCATGGACTGAAAATTGATTAATGCCTTTGAAGTGGCATACCACCTTACAAATTTTGGGACAACTAGATGATGACCTTGAGCAAATGGAGAGGGCAAATGACTGACCATCAAACCATTTGAGACATGCCAAACCCATGTTTGTCGTCTTATCCTAGAAACAGGTCCTCACTGACAGTGACCCAGAGAGCAGTGCTACATTTCCAGGTATCTTGGTACTAGATGGAGAGATGATAAACCCACATCTCTTTATTCTTCTGGCTAAGGCTTAAAACAGTTTTTCTGTTAGTAGTTACTACATGCAAACTTACTGAATTTATTTTGTTTTAGAAATATTTTGGAGTATATGCAAAAGGGAGGCAAGAGACTCACCATTAGGTATCTGGATAGAGCTCTCTGGGCTCCACTCACTCCAGAATCCATGGTCTGGCTTGCAGCGAACCTGGACAAGGTATTTCTGTCCTGGGTATAAGCTGAGAATCTTAAACTGAGTCTGCTGTCCAGCAAAATGAGTCTAGGGACAAACAAGGAAGATAGAAGTCATTCCCCTAGATAATAAACTATTGGAGAACCGAGGCCAGCAGATTCAATTTTGTAGATAAATCTCTGTTCTTCTCACCATTCCACTCTCCTAGCTCATCTTTTCCTCCTCACAGGGCTCACACAAAAATTAATGGGTTTTCTACCTCTTCATGGGGAACTCTATTGACATAGAGTCAAATATTCTGCTTCCTATCCTCTACCCACTTCTAAATTCTACTTTATGGAAGACAACCAGTGAATACAATTGAAAAATTGGCTATTTTGTCAACCCTAATGACTTTATTGATTCATATTACCAATTAGCTAAAGCCCCTAGGTGAAAGAGAACAGGGCCTTCAAGTTTATTGAAACAATAGTGTACAAGCAAAACAATCAAGGGATGAAGTTGTCATCTCTCTGATCCCAGAGTCAGCCTTAGCATCATTTCTGGCGGGTTAACCAGATGATTTCCATCTCCTGGCATGAGGCACCTACAATCACTTCTGAAGTATTCTTGCTAAAACTTGTTCAACCCGAACCTGATCAAGTTTCTAGATCTAATTGTCTGGTTACAGGAAATACAGGGCCAGAGAAATTAGCCAAATGACCTCACAGAGAACTCATCAGACAAATGCAGAAGGTGGGCCATTCTATAGGACAAATGACCCACTCTCCCGAGTATGTTGAGATGGAAGTGACAGAACAACCAGCCACGTGTGGGTCTTGGAGTGGATTCTGGTTTGAACAAACTAGCTGTTAAAGGTATTTCTGGAAGTAATTGGGGGAATTAAAATATGGACTGGCTATTAAATGTTATTAAGGAAATTTAATTAATTTTCTTTGTGTAGCCTTATTATTTTGGCTATGTTTGGAAATGTTCCCTTTTTAAAAATTTTATATTGCTATCATCGCTAATGGGTTTGAGAGTATCTTTTTTAAAATTGAAGCATAATTAACATAGAGGTGTTACATTAGTTTCAGGTGTTCCATATAGTGGTTCAACATTTCTATACATAACTCAGTGCTCATCACAATAAGTTTACTCTTAACCCCTTCACCTATTTCATCCATCCTCCCACCCACCTGCCCTCCGGCAACCACCAGTTTGTTCTCTGTATTTGAGAGACTGTTTTTTTGTTTATCTCTTTTTGTTCATTTGTTTTGTTTTTAAGTTCCACATATGAGTGAAACCAAATGTTTCTTTTTTTTCTTTTTAGATTTTAAGTAGGTTCCATACCCAGTGTAGGGTAGAACTCACAACCCTGAGATTAGGAGTCACACACTTCACTGCCTGAGCCAGCCAGATACCCGTCAAATGTTCCCTTTTTAAAAGAGAATATACAGGGAAAGGGAGGAAAAACTGAATTATTGGAAGAAATCAGAGAAGGATACTAACCATGAGAGACTCTGGATTCTGGGAAACAAACTGAGGGCTATGGAAGGGGGCGGTGGGCAGATGGGGTAAATGGGTGATTAAGGAGGGCACGTGTTGTGATGAACACTGGGTGTTATAATGCAACTAATGAACCGTTGGAGACTACATCAAAAACTAATGATGTACTATATGCTGGCTAATTGAACATAACAATAAAAAATAAGAAAATAAAATAAGAGACACAGACTAAAATATTATATAATATTATAATACTATAAAATATTTAAGAGTAGACTATTATAATGCCTATAATTTACTGTATTATTTCTTCTTTACATTGAAGTATTTGCAAGTGAATAAAAATACCATTGATCACAGACTGGTTACACTGAGACTTTTTCCTCCTATTTAGTGTCACATAAGTACACTCACAAGTATCTCAAACTAAGATATCCTGAAGGACATGGGTTGGAGATTGGGTGAAGGACACTGTTCAGTGCAAGGAGCTAGCTAGCCCTGGGAGAGTATGGAGATGACCTTCATCAATCCCAGTGGAGGTGAGGAGGACCATCCCTGCCAGGGTGGGTCACATCAGCATTGAGAGGGCAACAGGGTTACCCAAAAATGAGGAGGAACAACCTACTCTCAGTGCAAGGGCTTCACCTTTGCCAAGGACCAGGTTCTTTCCAAAACCTTCTAGTTGACTTACCTCCCACTCAGTAGCTTTCTCGGGTTTTAACCGAATTTCATACTGGAGTGTGAGCCAACCAGATCTAACATCAACCAGGGTGGGTGGGTACCATTTCATCCACAGGTATGTTTTTTTGTCTTCTGGCTGTTTTAATTCCAAAGTTAGGTTCACAGGAGGGTCTGGTTCAACTGTAGACAGGAAAGAAACTCCATATTTAGTAAAAGTGGTATCTGAACACAGAATGACATGTCTTAGAGGGGGCTCTCTCTACTGTTTCACTCTATTGTGGTTATGAGACTCTTGGCATTTGGTATCAGGTGCTGGTCAGCAGAACTGGGGTTAGGTTGAAGCAAGCACAATGCAAAATTTAAGAAGGCACACATGACCAAAAGGACAGGAAAGAGGCTCAAAAGTCATTGAGAAACGAAAGTCAAAACCACAATGAGATACCGTCTCATACATGCTAGGATGGCTAGAATTCAAAAGGCGAAAAATACTAAGTGTTGGTGGGATCACTGGAGAAAGTGGCACCCTTGTACATTGCTGATGGGAATGTAAAGTGGTACAGCCACTGTAGAAAAAAGTCTGGATATTCCTTAGAAAGTTAAATGTGCTATTACCATGTCACCCATCAATTTCACTCTTATGTCTCTACCCAAAACAACTGAAAGCAGGTGTTCAAACAAAAACTTGTACCTGATTGCTCATAGTACACTATTCACAGTAGCCAAGAGGTGGAAACAACCCAAATGTCCACCAATGGATGAATGGATAAATAATATCCATTATCGTTGGACATGATTCAATCATTAGAGGGAAGGAAGTACTGATACATGCTAGAACATAGATGAATCTTGAGAACATTATGCGAAGTGAAAGAAGCCAGACACAAAAGGCCACATACTCTATGATTCCATATACTTGGAATATGCAGAATAGGCAAACCTTTAGAGACAGAAAGCAGACTAGTGGTTGTTCTGGGGCTAGGATAAAGCAGGGATTCCAGAGTAACTGGTTAATTGTTGTGCAGTTGCCATCCAGAGTGATGAACGTGTTCTGGAACTAGAGAGTGAAGGGTGCATAGCCGTGTGAATGAACTAACACCACCGGATCACACATCTTAAAATGGCTAAGATGGTGAATTTTATGTTATGTGTATTATGCCACACACACACAAAAATAAGAAGGCACTTACTTTCAGATTCCTGTAAGTACAGCTGTGTGACTATCCCCTGAAGAGTTCCTTGTGTACCAGCTTGTTTTGCCCTAATCTCAGTCCTGCTGGTCAGTAGTATTTTCTCGCTTCATTTATTACCTCCTCAAATAAGTCTCCGTGCCAGGGGGGATGTGAGTGTGATTGTAGTGTATTGGGCATTATAACCTACAGTTGCCTAGAAAAGTGGACTTCAGAAAATCTGCCACTAATCCTAATGCTTATATGTCACTAAGTAAATACCTATGAAAAATCATTTTATATGTACTTACTAAACCAACCTGAGAAACGCTTTTGATCAAAAACTATTGGTACAAAACCGCCAGCAAAATGTTTAAGCTAAATCCTTTAGAGCAAAGTTTCTCAACCTCGGCACTATGCATTTTGGACCAGACGCTTATCTATTGGCGCGTTGGGGTGAGTGGGAGGGATGCTGTCCTGAGCTCTCTAGTGTGCCTTGCGGTGTTTCTGGCCCCTACCCATTAAATGTCAGCAATACCCCGAGCCTGCCCTCCTAGGTTGCAATCATTGGAGAGGTTTCCTGTCATTGCTAAATATCCTGGGGGAGACAACACAGCCCCAAGTTGAGAATCACTGCTTTCAACCATCTTCGACATTGCTAAATGTAATTCAATAGCAGTAGCAACAAGAACAGTAACGAAATCTATTTCTGAGAGATTATCTGCCAATATCGTCATTCTGAACATTCTGGGTTATCCCTGGCTGATCGAGAAGGTACTGTGGTTAATCCTGATTTAAAAAATAATCTCACGCTGGCACCACACCCAGCTCAGAGCCTGACTTGGGGCTTGATGTCACAACCCTGAGATCATGGCCTAGCTGAAATCAAGAGTCCGACATTCAACTGATGGAGCCACCCAGGCGCCCAGCACTGATTATTAAATGAATTCTATGGCTTGTCACCAACACTGTGTGTTGTAGGGTCATATGAGAGTTCCATAAACCCTCCTATTTTTTGGGAAATAAGGGCCAGCACTTTTTCACCAGAGAAGTTGTTTCCCAGAGCTCATGTGAAATTGGTGCCCTCATCAATTTCACTTCTTAAACGTACTACTTTTTAGTGATTCTGTTTTTGTGCATGCATGTGTGCATGTGTGAGTGTGTGCTTGTGTGTGTGTGTGTGTCTGTGTGTGTGTGTGTGACTACTTTCATTGTAGCAATGGCTCCTTCCAGAACTTCTTTTGCCTTTGCTGTTTTGCCCTCCTATGTTAAATCCATAAGAGAGAGCCTGAGACAAAGGGATTACTTGGCATTTATCATCTTAAAGACTTTGAATCTCAAGTAATTTATATGACCGAAATTTATTTTATTCCTACTTGCCACTGGAGTTGCTTTTCTGAGTTTCTTAAACTAAGCTCAAATTCAGTTTCCACCCCCAGGCTCATTCCAGTGATTTGCTGCAAGAGAAAATATTCAAGTGTGTACTGGTTGGTGTTGGAAGCTTTTCCAGTTTTTAAGGATAAACCACTGATAACATGCCATGGGGATGATATGCAAGTGAACACTTAAGAATCCTAATCTGATTTTCCTTACTGAGTGGTGTTAGGTAAATCTGGAGGACTTGGGTAACCATGAACCTAATTAGCTACTCCCTAGATTATGATGCAAGATGAGGGCTGAACCCTGGCCTGGCCAAGCCATCTCTTGTCCTAAGATTCCCTTTGTCAGCCCTGCCACACTGTCCAGGCCACAGCAGTGATGCCTAATTACCCTGCAACTCATGGTTGATCGTGTAAAGCCAGAAGCAGCGTTTGGGTTGACTTTGTTTTGCTTTGCTAATGACGTCTCCAAACATTGTACCTGTGATCTTGGCCTTCAGACTGCTGTTCAAGTAGTAGTATTTACTCCTCAAATTATTTTTAAAATAATACCTCCAGTTACTAAGAAGCACATGTATATTGAGGACTGAATTTGGGGCAAATGGGTTGGCACAATCCCTGTGGGTGCAGAAGCAAATGAACACCTTCTAGGAGCTCTACTCCCTGCAGGAGCTCTGTGTTCCATGGGGAGAGAGAAAGTCAGGGAGAAGGGGACATTGATTGTGGGAGGAGGGCTGGAGGGAAGGAGTGATAAGGGACGCATAAATAGAACATTCCTTCTGGATGCAAGAGGATGAGAAGAAGGCTCAAGGGAAGGCACAGAAACATAAGGATCCCAAGTCCCAGTCCTACTCCCATGAATGACTTGATAAAAATGGGTTTGAAAAACCAGTTGAGAAAGATATTGAAAATTTTCTTCTTTATTTTTTTTTCTCCAAAAGCCAAGAGGACTCAAGCTGAGTCTCACCACTGGTAAATCCATAAGGGGTAACCCATTCCTGACCTGTTGTCACCTTTCGCCTTACCTATGTAAGTCACGTCCACATAACGTGGATCCGAGGAACTGCTTCCCATCTGGTTTGTGGCATTTATTGTGATGATGTACATCGTCCATATGGAGGTGTGCTTCTTGTTGAAGTAACAGGAATTGGGGCCACTGGTTATGTAATCTGGACATTCATGTGTAGTTGTTTCTCTGCAATGAGTAGTGCATTAGCAGCAAATAAGGAAGCAGTCAACAGAGTTTAGTCTCTTTCTGAGTAGATCAGTAACACTGGCTTTTGGGGATCAGACATTTGAAATGTAAGAACCAGAGCTGAGGAACATCTCCCCAAACATCTGTGTCCTGCCCATGTCAGCTGGGGGTGAGACAGAGGGGAGGGTGCTGGAGATGGTAGAAGGGTTACGTTAGATCCTCAACGACTCTGCTGCTCATTGACACCTCCCTTCCATAGGTTTTTGTGGGCTTTGTGCTGTATGCCCCCTGCCAATAAGTGCTTGAGCTCTCAATGGCCAAGTGCTTGAGCTCTCAATGGCCAAGGCCCCAGGGAATGGCCACTGGTCATGTCAGGACCCGTGACCCTCCCCTATACATACAGCGGGGGCCGTGTACAATGTGGCATTTACCGTGCACATGTGTTGAATTACATTTCACTTAAAGAAGATGAAAGAGGGTAAACATTGCTGTCAGTCTATTTCAGATGGCCTCACGTCAACAAAAGAGTAACACGACTAAGAACGGGGCCATTTCAGGACCAGGAGGCCTCCTTAGGCTGACCCCATGTAGACATCAGGGCCTCAATGCAAGACCCAGCATGAGGTGTGAAAGCTTTCTTAGCTTGGTTGCCAGTTTGAGTCCCTGAACTCAATTTACACTATACCCCTCTGCGTCACACAAGGGATGACAACGTTACGTACAACGAAGTGTTATCTTTGGGATGTGGGCCAGGTGTTGCAACAGGTAAGTGTTTTCTTCTCTGGGGAAGAATACAGCCCTCCTGGGCTTTCCAGGACGGTTTCATTGTGAGTAAAGAAAAACCCCACCCAGAGAGGCCCTTGTTTAGCCCTCGACACCACCCTAGGTCCACATATGCCCTCTGGAAGATCAGAGATCCTGGCTCAGCAAATGCTAAGGAAACATCCTTATCTCCCTTTGCTTATAGGGCTCTTTACTTTCTCGGTCACGGAACAAGTTTGAAAACCTAATGTACCGTGGTGGTTACGGATTACACGATAATCCTCTGAGATTGCGAAAGTAAAAAACGGCCCCAAATTTACATCTAAAGATGACTAGCCTTTAGGAAAGATCGATATGTGACCTTGGGCTACAACCTAAGCTTGGGACAGACACTAGGAATAATGCTGGGTTGTATTGCTGGGGTGTTGGATGACCTTATACTCATGGAAAGAGCTCCTCAAGGACATTAACCAGAGACTGTAGACACAGGCAGTGGAGTTCTTTTCCTGGGTGGTAGGAGCCTTACTAGTGCCAATTCAGAGAAGTGTGGTAATTCTAACTTTGGGCCCCCAGATTGAGAGCAGTCATGTGGGGGTTGATAGGAGAGAAGAAAACTTCTTACCCTTCCTTGTGATACGTCAGCGTGTAATTAGTGGGAAGTCCTCCATCTTCCCCAGGTTTCCACCAGCAGGTGAATGTTTCCTTTTCAGGAGAACGACATTTAGAGATCACAGGTTTTCCAGGAGGTGATTGTCCTAAAAGGAGCCAGAAGTCATTTGAGAATAAGGTGCATTCAACTGACCCTCCTACTGGTGACAGAAGCAGAGTGATGGGACCAGGTCAGTGATGAAGTGATGAAGTTTGGGATGAGGGGGTGTAGGGGTGGGGGGCTCAGAAATACCAGCAACATTCCTCTGTGGGCTGCCCTGATGTTGGCAGGACTGAGAGAGAAAGAGAGTGAGAGCTAGAGAGAGAGAGAGAGAGAGCTGTGTGTGTATGTGTGTGCATGTGTGTGTCCTGTGAGGCAGAGATGGCCACTAACCAGGACCGGTGACTAACTGTAAAATTCCAACAGGATGAACATCAAGGGTGGGCTGGATATGTGTAGACTGAAGGGTATGTGGCCCTTCCATGATCCCAGAGTCCATGCAGTTGACATCTTCCCATAGTAGAAGGGTGACCATGAAAAGCATTCTTTCCCAGGCACAGGTGTCCTGGGACCCTTTGCTGACACATTGCTCTCTAGCACTTCTCCATCCACTCAAAAATCTCCATCCTTCTGCCATTCCCACACAATTAACTCAATCCTGGACCTTCTGTTTTCTTCTTTGTATCGCTGACACTCCTTTGGCTGCTTCCCCCTACCCCCCATCTTCTCCTTTCCTTCCTGTTTCCCTTCACTTTCCCTTGACTCCATTTGGCTTTGATCTCTGACCCAGTCTCACCGTCTGTCTCGTCTATCTCCTCATTCTCCTGCCCCCATTTCTGATTCTCGTTTTTTAGTCCCTTTTGTCTTATATTTCCCCCTTCCCTCTTGGGTCTTTTTGTGGTGAGGTGGCAAAGGGCTTCCTTGCATTTCTATGACCCTTTTTGGGGTGGGAGGCATGGTAGGAGGTGGCGGAGTGACTCGCTGCTCTTCTGGTTACCAGCTACCATTATTATCCAAGAGCCATATCTGACCCCAGTTGGAAGCTAGAAGGTGATGTGGAAAATACAATGTCAAGAGGATGGGGTTTTTCAGTTGCTTAATCCCCAAAGCTCTTGGTCAACTGCCTTGACCCCCTTCCTTGTCTGTCAGGTCCAAAGAGGAAGAGGGTGGCCCTGGGCCTTTGCCTTGTGCCTCCTGCTAGGCAGCAGCCCCATTGTGCCCATCCACATAACTAACCCCAGGCCATATTCTTCTTGGTCAAGTTGGATGCCTGACTGTTTAGTTCAAGAAAAGCAGCAGCAGAGAGGAGAGCTTGAAAGGTCTCAGTCTCAGCAATTTAGAGCAGGGGTTTTTCTCTGTTTTCTCTTATACTTGTCTCCCCTGTCCCCGACCACTGGCTCCTAGGCCACAAGTTCTCTCTGAGCACCAGATCAGAAAGATCAAGTCTGGAGGAGAACATGCATGGGAAGAGGGGACCCCAGGCAAAACTGGCCAGAAAGAAGAAGTTCATGGAATGATATGACACAGTGCCCAGGCTGGGGCTGAGGACAGCAGGCCGATCTTGTCAGTGGGGGCTAAGCTACCCTCTAGCTCCCAGCTACCCCCAAAACCATCAAAGGATTATAGGAAATCTTAAAACTCCATGCCAGCCAGCGTGGGGTTAGGTCGGCCAAAATCTGTAACATTGTTTATGCTCCAGGAAAAATTTCTTTAGGATAATCTCATAGGTTGAAGTGATTTGTTTGTTGTGTGTGTGGGTTTTATTTATTTATTTATTTTTTCATTTATTTGTTTTTTTGTGGCTGGGAATGAGCATGTGGGGCAGAAAATTTTTTTTCTTTTTTTAAAAACCCCAAACCCTATGGCTCAATAATGAGCATCCGCAGAAGCCAATTAAGGCAACTGTTGATTATTTGAGTACTTCAAGTTTCCCTATGGATTATGCTGATCTCTGCTGTCCTTTTTCTCTCTCTGGAAGCTTATCTCTTTCACATTTCACTGGTTATTCATAGTACTTCTTGGACATTCGGGAGAGGAGAGCACAGTTGTGAAATTACAATTAGTCAAATGTTCCTTTCACTCACTTTAGCAGGGATAGTGAAAATGAATGGACTGTCTCACTATTCTTATAAAATGCACACAGACAGAAGGACAACCATGTAGAAACCGTACCCACAGGTACATATGTATGTCCACATTAGAGCCCACCTCACAAACACACAGACAGCCCCCCGCCCCCACATATATGCAACTGCATACTAGGAAGCCCACTTGGAAAATACATGGAAATATACTGGTACACAGGGATACACTCACAGATGGATACTCACACTGGTATACACAGAGAAGCATTTGCAATCAGATACACATGGAAAAGTTAGTACACATAGAATTATATACAAAAGTATCCCCACCCAAAAATACACAGAGGTGGGCACACAGAAATGTACATACGCCAGCATGCACGCTCTGGTTGTGAACTTAATCTCTCCCATTAGCACAGGTAATAGAGTTAGCTATATGTTTCCCATCATAAAACAGCAATCCCTTTTATCTCTTTACTGTTCTTCAAAGATTTTCCACATACATCACTTCATCAGAGGTGGAGGGAACATCTTTGTCCTCACTTTGAAAATGTGGAAACCCAGAGAGATTAGGTGATGGGCTCAAGGTCACATAGCCAGTAGTAGCTGACAGAAGCCGGACCCAGAGTCTGGTCTTGTCATTCATCCAAGCTGCTTCCCTGAACTCCCGGAGTGAGGATAGAAGGCAGAGCACAGAGACACGCTTTTGCATTCATTGCCTTCATTCTTTTGCATTAATTTCTGCATTGATTTTAATGCCAAAAATATTGCAAATAATTTAACAGCAGCAAGTGGCATTTCCATCGCTTGTAACTGCAGGGCTAGCTAGACTCCCCATCCTCTCGAAAAACACCCCAGGGAATTAGAAAGAGCAGGACAGTTCCTTACTTACCATTCAGAAGACCGGTGTTGAGAAAAAGTAGCAAAAGGAAAACAACGGTGGATGCCACACTTTCCTTCATTTTGGCTCCTTTCTCTTTCTATAGGAAATGTATCAGACGTTCGCTGAAAGAGAAGGCACCGGGCAACTTTTGTAAAGCAACAGGCTGGCCAGGCACATGTACTACTTTACTCTGGGTGTTTGCAACTGATCCTTGCTCCTTGCTTAATGTGAATGACAAAACAGGAGGAAAGGAATGTAGGAAAATGTAACATGGTTGAATGGCTTGGCTCAGACGCACCCGTGCACACATGCTAGGAAAAATTCTACCACTAGAGGTCATCAGATGACAATGTTCAAGGGCAGCCGCGGGGCAACGCTCCTGCGCGCAGACCCCCAAGAAAAATTGTCCTCTTTCCACCCTTTGGTCACTTAACCATATATCACCCATTTTATGCGACACAGATTGCATGCCCTACAAGAGAACCATTCTGGGAGGGCTTTGATCCAACAGCCAAAAATAAGTCCGCACACTCAGTAAGTAGCCTCAGTATGAATTCAACCTGGTCTCATGGGTGCCAAGTGTGGGGGGAAGGGCTATGTTTCTCTGAAAACGTAGGCTGAGCAAGAAATTTGCTGGGCTATGGGCATAACTGTGAACCACACAGTGAACTCCAGTGAACCTCCATGTGCTTTCCTTCTCCTTTTTCAACCAACGACAAACCCCAGTAATAATTCAAATCCTTGGTTTTGGAGCATTAAGTAAATTTTCAACCTGCGGGGGTTGAGAGTTTTGAACAATTTATTACTAATACTATTATTTTTACCCTTGGAACCAATTTCAAAGCCTCTAAGTGTCCTTTTGAGAAGAAAACATTTTTAAAAGACATTTGAAAAAGGTTCATTAGTCTTGTTGGACTCCAAAAAACTCAGAAAACAACAGATTTGATGAACTAAGTGTATATTCTTGGAAACACATGGCATATATTTTCTTTTAAATCTTATGATTTTTTTTATTTTTTAATTTTTATTTTTTTATTTTTTTAATAAACATATAATATATTTTTATCACCAGGGGTACAGGTCTGTGAATTGCCAGGTTTACACACTTCACAGCACTCACCATAATAAATCTTATGATTTTTATAACTCAAGGGAAGACCATCCAGAGGCAAGGCTGCTCTTCTTGAGACATCTGAAACGGCTGGGTGTTGTTTGATGAGCTCTGAAGAGACCAGCCTTCGCCCATTCCTCTTGGCCAGAGCTGGTTCCCCGTGTCCCAGCTGGACACCGCCTCATGGACAGCTTCGAGGAGGCCTTCTCTACCTGCTACCACCCCCTCTGAGACCTACTTGGAAATAGAAATCTTAGTGACAACAGAGATTTGGGGCAACTAGACACCATCAAGTCCTCTCTTCTATTGGGCTCCTGTGAGGAAGCCACGATGTTGTTCTCTGGGAACGTTCTAGTTGCTCTTCCAAATGCCTCCCCTTCCCCAGGTTGCACTCTCTGAACTACCTTGGGTCATTCAATTTAAATCAAGTTGCTAAAGGATCACCAGGGGTGTAATCATGCCTACGGTGTCTGGAGCACTTACTACGGGCCAGATTGTGCTAAGTGTCCTCATCGTTTGCTTCCATTCAGCCCTCACGATAGCCCCATGAGTGGCACAGACTATTACCTCCCCTTTGAAGAGGTGAGGATCTTGAAGCACAGAGAGAGTTAGTAAATTGTCAGTCCTATGCCAATGGGAGAGAGAAATGTAGTGAATCTGAGAGCATCTGAGAATAATCTTGATTTGCAGACTGTGATGGACAGTGCAATGATCCCTCCCTCTGGGAGGGGGCGGGGCGTGGAGAATGGAGACAACAGCAATGGACCCAGACCGAGGGAACAGCACGCCAGGCCTTGAGCAGGCATGGAGTCAGGAGAGCCGGAGCTCAGAGAATTCACCTCAGCTGCCAGTCCTATATATGTCTGGGGCTCTCAGAAACTGCTTCCTCAAATATGACTTCATTAGGTCTATACAGCCCTGGAAGACTTCTTTGTCTTGGAGATCTGATCACCTCATCCTGGCTTAGGGATGGGATTTGGCCCCATGGCCAAAGAAGTTCTAGAATATCCTTTTATTGAGACTTCTCTGCTCTTTTGGGCATTGCCTCAAAATGTTTGAGATCAACATGCTGTAAATCACAATTTTTAGGCAAGGTCAGATGCTGTCTGGACAGCTCTACCAAATCAGGGCCGCATGTGTTTGGCAAAAGAAATGGCTAGAGGGGGAGAGCAGGGTGGGGGCGGGAAAAGCAGGCATTACCACTGCTCATGCTTCCTGGTGTGCTGGCCCAGGCTCAAAGAAACTCTCGTAAACGGAGTTTTCCTATAAGAAAGCTTTTAGGAAGTATTTTATGGGCTAAAAAACAAAGCAAAAACAAAAACCCATTTCCCCAGGGGATTTCCTGCACTGTTTTGGAATCTGGTTAATAACCACCATGCACTTTCTGGTGTCTTGAAATCCCCATTCCAGGGAATTAGATCTAGTGGTGGTGTTCCTGTGTTTCAGCAGTGGTTTCTCAACTCATGCTGCATCTTAGCCCCCGGCAGGTCAAACGCAGTGGGCTAGGTAAACCTTCACGGAGAAAGGTGATCTTGACTGCTAACTCCAGGGGGAGCTATGCTGGATGTTAACCTGGGTCATGTATTGTGCTTTCTTCCAGAACCAAGCATACCACCTGCTTGTCCACTGACCAATGTTTAGGGCTGGTGGATACTAGGCTAGGGATAAATTTGTTTTTTGTTTCTTTAAGGCTCCCCCTGGCTACCCAGCCCTCACTGCAAGTGAGATCTTGATCAAAGGCCTCCTTGCCCACAGCCTGCTTTCAGTGATGGTTACGGGGGCAAATTGCTCCAAATATTTGGACTTCAATTAGGAAAAAGTCAGCCCCATACCTCAGTTCAGGACAATTATCTTGGCTGCAGTCCTCACTAGCTCCCTGGGTTCAGGAGAACCCATGTTCACATCATGTGATTTAAACATGCAAGACTCCGGACTGAAGAGCAGGTTTGTAGGAAGTCAGCACCTTGCCCGTGATCAGCTGCCTTGCTTCTGAATCCTCAGAGACCACCCCCCCCCACCCCCAACTTTGTGGTCCTCCCATTATCTTATTCAAATATACCTTCCCACAGTGCTATGTCCCACTGTGGTATGATCTCCATAAAATCATCTGACTTCCCCATTTCACTCTTCATCAATGCTGATCCTGCCCAGGCCCTCTTTCCCAGAAGCTTCCCTTCATCACCCTCTTCCATTAAGCCAAGTCTCTTCTACAGAGACCAAGAGTTGAAAAAAGGAATTTTATGCCTCACAGCTTGCTTTTCAAGGAAATAAGAGCTACTCTTCCTGGATGGAAAATCAGGGCCATGGTCCCACAGTGTGTGCTGATCCCACTATCCATGGCGGAAAGGGTCAACCATAGGAGGGGAGGCAGTGTGGCTCAGGAGAGTAAGAAGTAACAGATCTGAGCTCCCAACACACCACTCCCCACTGTCTATCCACTGGCAGACCCACTTTGTGCCCACCATCTGCATATTCCGGCCCACTCAGGCCCAGATCAATTCTGAATGCCAGGGATCTCAGCTCTACCATTTTGTGTGACTTGCTCCCCAAACCTGGTGATCCCCTAAGTGAGAGAAGTCCCCACCTTGTCCTGCCTCATCTGCCCCTATTGCTCCAATGTTCTAATCAGATTTTTGACCCAGTTCCTTTGACTGTAGAAATGGACCTACTATGCTAGGCAGTGACTCTGAGGACCTACCTAGCTATGGCAAGCTCAATTTCTGATGGATAAGTAGGGCCCAAGTCAAGATTTGGATTTCTTTTTTCCCTCACTCCCTTCCATTTAAAGATTTACTTATTTATTTAAGAGAGAGAGATAAAGAGAGAGAAAAGAGGGAGAGCCAGAGGGAGAGAACCTTCAATCAGACTCCTTGCTGAGTGGGGAGCCTGATGAGGGGCTCAATCCCATAACCCACGAGATTGTGACTTTAGTTGAAACCAAGAGCTGACACTTAACTGACTGAGCCACCCAGGCGCCCCAGGATTTGGATTTCTTTCAAGACCATCACACATAAGATATGCACAAATTGTAAGTATTATGTTTAATTAATTACTGCAAAGTGGATATGCCCATGTTATGACCAGGTCAACAAACAGAACACTAACAGTGCCCCCAACATCCCCCTGGTGTCTCCCCCTGGTCTCTACCCCACCCAATAGAAACCATTCTTCTGATTTCTAACATCACAGATTACTCTTGCCTACTTTTATACTTTATAGAAATGTAATCATACAGCATGCCTTTGTGAGCTTCCCGTGTGTCTGGCTTCCTTAATCCCACACTGCTCTATGACTCATCTTTCTACATGCAGTTCTACGAAGTTCATTTTCACTTCATCTCATTTATCTTGTTTCATATTATGTTGAATGAAAGACCATTATCTATTTGTCCTACTCTTGATGGACATTTGAGTCATTTCCAGGTTTTGGCAAACCTGGATTTTGATAAGACTGATCAAGACTCAGATGGCAGGACAGATACTGTGTGACTTCTCTTATATGTGGAACCTAAAATAGAAATCTATCTATCACCAATCTATATCTATAAAACTAAGCTCATAGATATGATGTCAGAGGCAGACGGGTGGGGGGGGGTAGGGAAAAATGGGTGAACTGTTTTTTTCTTATTTGTTTGTTTAAATAAACTGAATAAAAGACATATGAAATTAAAAAAAATTGATGAAGCTCCTAGTTTTAAGTGGATAAATTTACATTACTTACCAAAAAGGAAAGAAATTTATATGCTACAATTTTGCAGCATATAAATTTGTTGAAACAATAAAAAGAGTAATAAATAAGAACAAATGACCTGATGAGTTTTGTTGTATAAAATGTGTTTCAAGGAAGTTATTCTAAACGGAGACAAAAATACAAGACTTATTACAATTAGTGACCTTAAATATTTACATTTTTCAATAAGAAAGAAATTGGAACAGAAAATATCACCCATTTGTTGTATTTTTCTGAGCTTACTTGATATGTTATAAAGAGTATTTTCACAATTAAGACTGTTG